ATTAGCATTCCTGCTATGCCTCTGTCATTCCAGATTGCTAGCTCTCTTTGGATTGCTAGCTCTCCTTTGCAGTTCCTCCATAACTCTGTTGGGTGCTGTAAGCTACTAAAGGATTTAGGCTTCTCCAGTTGCCGGCATTTCTCTTTCCAGTCACTATCAAAGCATCTGTCCAGGTAGTAAATCATGCCCAAGCACTGATATTCCCTTCAGTATGACTCTGGCTTTTATTGGCACATCACTCAGCTTTTAGATGCCTCAGTTTCCACCTCTGTAAAATGGGGATAATAATAGCACCTCCCTCATAGGGATGTTTAAAAGATCAAATGAGTTGACATGTATAAAGCACTTGACAAACTTTAAAGCACTTTATAATGCTATCTGTTGCTGTGGATCAGTTGGCTGACTTACTGGTGTTCGTTCTGGTATTCCTGGCATGACTCTGTTCCCTCCCTCTGTTAGCGTCTTTATCCTTTTTACATTATGACACCTTATAGTTTGATTTTGGTTATTTCCTTCCTTATCACAAGTGATATACTGATGATATGATGGGAATATATAGCATACTTGTTAGCTTGCAGGCACAGCTTTCATGTTTATCTGCACTGGCCTTGGTTTCCTTGATCTGACCTTTCTACCTGCTTCCACTTCCAGTCCTCATTTTGTGCAGCCCTGGAATGGATGGGGTAGCTCACTTCTCCTTCTTTTCCAATTTCTTTATCTTTTTTTTTTCTGGGTCCCCTTTCACATACTTGCTGTAATTTTCATGACCATTCTGTGCATCTTCTGTGATGCTGCCATCTTTACTGGATCCCTGACTTTTGCTTTTTACACCACATTTATGTCCTGATATACACTCCCTCTCCCATCTCCATCCTCACTCCTACACTGTGAACAGGGAAGTCCCGCTACCTGCCATAGTGACTGTCTCAAATTTTATGTGACATTCTATGCCTATAGTCTCCCCCTCTCTACCAAGAAGAGAAAAATGTACGAAAGAACACAGATTTAGGTCCACAAGGGACATTAGAGTCCATATCCCTTCATTTACAGATGAGAAAACTGAGTCCCAAGAGGTTTCATGGCTTCCCAGGTCCCTGGCTTCCAATCCAGTTTTTTCTCCGCAGTACCACACATCGCCCTCTGCTGTCTGTTCCCTAGAAGTAGGGTTGGTTATATCACTGCTCTTAATCTAAGCTCAGATATTTTCAGTGTTGTTTTCATTCAAATGGTATTGTAGTTCTTGTGGACCCCCTAAAAAAATGACTACTCTGATGTCTCAATGTGGTACATAAGTGACTGTGGGTTCTCGAAGCTCATGCCAATGCAGCACAAACCCTGGAAAGGTCTACCAGAATGTTTTCTGAAGACCATTCTAACTAAAGATGAAGAGGCATATCGTCGGTAATCTGGCCATCTGGTGAAGAAACTTTTTTGGCCCTGGCAAACTATGAGACACAGAAAAATAGTAAAAGTTATCCTGGGTCAGTCAGTCAACCGCGTGGCCCCTTTCCTATGGCAGTACAGTGGGAGATGGGAAGTAGAGAAGATGCTAAAAATCATGGGTTTTTTACCCTGTTAAACTTAGATTTGATCTGTTGGTACCAAATGTAAGATCCTGGTCCAGTAACAACAAAAAGACATATTACCGTTAGAGGTAAACCGTATTCATCTTTACATTCTTGCTGTAAAAGACCTTGATTTTGGGAAAGATAGAAGCAAAAGGAAAAGGGGACCCCAGAGGATGAGATGGATGGATAGTGTCAAGGAAGCAACAAACATGAGCTTGGACAGACTTAGAAAGATAATGGAGGATAGAAGGGCCTGGCATTCTACGGTCCATGGGGTCACAGAGCTGGACAATGAATAAGCAATTCCAGCAAGCAATATTTACATACATGTGGCACCGATAATCCAGATGGGCAGTGAGCTGCGCCTGTAATCGAGCAGGAGGAGGAGACAGTGTTAGATTGCTTTTAGGAAACGCAGAGCACTTTTACTGACCCCAAGTATTTCATAACAGCTAAGGCCTATCTTTTCAGTACAACGACGCTGCTGGTTTTTGTTGGATAACTGTGATAACTGGAACACCTGTACCTCCAGAGAACTAAAGATGGACATTACGTAAAGGCAGTGGGAATGTCGAAAAAACAGGTGCAAAAAATGTCCAATTTTTAAAGAAGTCATGACATTCTGTAGTTTGATTTTTGTTATTTCCTTCCTTATCCCAAATGATATATTGATTAGATGATGGGAATATATAGCACAGCTTGTTAGCCTACAGGCATAGGCCAGCTGCAATACTTCTTAAACCATGGTTGCTACCCCATATGAGGTCGTGAAAAATTTGGTGACAGTAAAAGGCTTCTGAATGTGCAGTGACCAAAAATTAGTTAAAAACCAAATGCATAATGAATCGGAGGCGCTTCTGGCAGCACACTGCAGCCTTGGTCCTGAACACAAAGCATGCACACTTTGCACTGTGCATACCCTCAGGCCATGCAACGCCAGTGAATGCTGCCAAACCGTGGAAAAAGTTTAAGAAGTCCTGATTTATGAAATAAGATCTTTCAAAATATAATGATTTTGTATAGTAAAATATTTGATCAGAAAAGGATGTGGACTGATCACAGAGCAAATATGAGGCCAAGCTGATGAAAAAACCAGAATTCTGCCTGGAATCTATGGAATTTTTGTTTTCAATTCCATGTGTTAGAGGAATAATAATGACAATAACAGTTAACACTGATAGAGAACTTTACTGTTTGTGAAGTATCTTGTATACTTTATCTCATTTAATCCTCTCACTACAACTCTGGAATATAGATGCCATTCTCATTCTCATTTTACAAATGAGGGAAACTGATCCTCAGAGAGGCTTCAGTGACTTGTGAAAGCATCACACACTTGTGATGGTTTGAAACTAGACTCAAGCTCAGAAGGGTTCCCTGACTCTTAAGACCAGCATTCTGGTGGAGCTGGGTGAGAAGAAAATTCATCAAAGACTCTGCCACAGACATTAGATAGAAATTCTTAAGGGGAAGAGGAAGGAACAGGTATTTATTAAGTGCCTACTATGTGCTGGGCACTCTGCTAATTGCTTTACAGATAACTTATTTGAGTTTTGGTAGGATATGGGTAAGAGTCACACAGGATGTGGAAGCATGGATGGACTGTGGTCTATTGTTGGAAAGATCTGTATACCATGTGGATGAAATAATGGGTTCATTGAAATATACAAAAGTCATTTTTGGGAAAAACCCTACTTCTTGTAGATTGAGTATCAGTACTCTTCTACCAATACTAATCATAAATGGTTTTAGTGTAAATGAAATTAAAATCAATTTTGTTTTGAGACAGTTTGGAGAGTTTCATTAATGCTACGTGATATAATTGGGGTGTTGCCAAACAAGAGATGGGAATCATGGTCTCTGCGGTTCGTGGCATTCAGTATATTTTAGGGTAGGTTATTAGTGGGGAGGGAGAAGGGCAGCTAAAATGGCTTCTATCTCATTCTGTTTCTTCCCTACCCCATTCTCCCTCCCCCCCAAGTGATGGTGCAGTATGATATTAAGTATGGGTTTTAAGTCTTGCTAGCTAATGTACTTACAATAAGACTCAGAGGATGTTTCGGAATATTTAAACTGCCTGTCTGACAGTGCTTCATTACAACTGCTCATTATGAAGTCTGTCATTTGGTGCCATACGTGAATTGAGACAACCAGCAAAAATCCTCTCAGAGGAAATACTTTAGTGTATAGAGAAAGATGTGTTTAACTAAGTTAAATGGGTTGCTGCTTTCAATTTACAAGATAATAAGGAAAAAAAACAAAAGAAAAATGGAATATACTAGAGTCAGAATTTTGGAATGTATCCAATATGTTTGAAAAAGAAAAATCAGGCATATAAGGGTATGCCTGATATTAGTGGGAAGTCCCAGAATTTGTAAAAGTAAAAAGAATTCAGACTATAAGAGTACAGATAAGTTCTTCAATCCCTAAAAGGCTCAATCAATCAGCTAACTGATATATATTAAGCACAGTTTATCCTCTTTACTTACAGATTCCATGTTTGTGAATTTGTGTATTCACTAAAATTTATTTGTAATCTCAAAATCAATACTCTTAGTGCTTTCTCAGTCATTCATGGACATGGGCAGTGAGGTAAAAGGTTTGAGTCACTTGACATGACGTGCACATTCCCAGCTGAGTTTGAACAAGGTGATGGTTCATCTTCTTGTTTAAGCTCTCATGCTGTGAACAGGTGTCTTTTTCATGGTCTATTTAGTACCATGGGTTTTAAAAAAATTTTTTTGTGCTTTTTGTTGATTTTGCTATTTAAAATGGCTCCTGAATATGGTGCTGTAGTGCTTTCTAGTGTTCCCAAGCCTGAGGAGGTTGTGATGTACCCAGAGAGAAAGACATGTAGTTGGTAAGCTTTGTTCAGGCTGAAGTTCTAGTGCCATTGGTCATGGGTTCAGAAAAAGGAACAAGAAATTCACTGATCTGCATCTGAAGCCTCTCAGTGCTAAAGTAAATGTTGTGACCAGAGGATTGCAGGGAAATTGACCTTGCATTTCTCTTAGGAGTAATGGATTCAATATTCACTAATTGAGTGTTTGCCATGACTCTAGAATGTGTTTTTGCCCATTAGATTGTAAGCTTCTGAAGTTAAGGACTCTTTTTTTTCTTATTTGCATCCCCAGTGCTTTGCACAGTGCCTTTCACAGAGTAGGTGCTTAACAAATGTTTACTAAATTGAATTGCATTGAATGATGAGAAAGAACTGTGCCTGCTATATTCCAGGCACTATGCTAGGCCCTGCATACAGATAAAAGTGAGACATCCCTTGCCTTCAGAGACCCTACATGATACAAAGGTGATCGAAGAATGGGAAACTAGTGGTGCTGGGTGAGAATAAAGTAGTTGAAGTAGTTGTTTGCAAAAATTAATTTTTACCAAAAACAAAGTGTAGTTTAAGCATCTCAACAATTGCCTTTCCAGAAACCACACAGATAGAAGATCCCAGAAAACAGTGGAGGAGAGAACAAGAGAGAATGCTCAAAGACTACCTTATGGTGGCCCAAGATGCTCTCAGCACACAGAAGGAACTGTACCATGTGAAAGAGAAAAGGCTCGCTCTGGCTCTGGATGAATATATGCGATTAAATGATGCTTACAAGGAGAAGTCGAGCTCCCGCACAAGCTGTAAGTGGGCAGTCTAATTTGATTATTCAGGAGCTCGGTACTCCGTATAAGAAAGGGAAGCCTACTAAAACTTCTTCAGGTTCTCAGGTGGGGGCTTTATTTCCTACTGCAAGTAATAAGAGTATCATAAAAATGCTCGGGAAGGAAAATGTGCCCCCGATTTCTCATTAAGCTTCCTCCGTACCAGGAGGCTACAGACAGCCCCTTGATACTTCAGGTCAAACTTCTCTGTTTTGTAGATCATGTCTGCCTTCTCTGGCTTCATCTTCTTCTCTTCTTGGTTGTCATTTTGAGCCATTTCTCTGCTAATTACTTTCTCTGCAAGGATAGAGAGAAGAGAAAGAAGTCATCCAATTTTGGTTATTCGTGAACAACTCTAGCAAACACACACACAAACAGAGCTTATGGAGTTAGGGTATTGAAATGATTGACCGTGATGGGGTTTTTGTTTCACCCAAAGATTTTATTTGTCCAAGCTGTTATTTTGCCTTATTATTTTACATGGACCCTAGAGGAGAGGTTCTTAGCTTTTTTTGTGTCCTGTACCCATTTGGCCAGTCCAGTGAAACCTAGGGACTACTCTGATTAATATTTTTAAATGGATAAAATAGAATACACAGGATTACAAAGCAAACCACTTAAAATAAAGTTTCCAATTTTTTTTAAGCTCATAGACTCGAGGTTAAAAACCCCTATCTAGACTTTTTTGTTTTTGTTTTTTTAGGCAGCTGGGGGTAAGTGACTTGCCCAAGGTCACACAGCTAGTAAGTGTCAAGTATTTGGCCTGAGGTCAGATTTGAACTCAGGTCCTCCTGACTTCAGGGCTAGTGCTCTATCCACTGTGCCACCTAGCTGCCCTTGATCTAGAGTTTTAAAAGTATTTTAGGCAAAGCTGTGATGGATGTTAGAATATCTTATTTGAAAAGAGGACTTGGATAATCTAAGCCTTGGAAGAACTGAATCAAGGGCATATTCTCTTGGGTAAGGAGGATGAGTGAAGATGAAGCACTATTATGTTCCTTTTTTCCTTTTGTGACAAATTTCATTCTTTTATTAAAGGGCAATTTAAATTATGGTTGGATAGTTGATCATGAGTTTTCATATTTATTCCTTTTCTGATTAAGGAATGTAAAAAAAGAAATTAATAGGCGTAGTGATACTTAATGTCACTTTACAGGACCATAGTTTCACTATTGGGCAGGGGGATGCTGAGGAAGAGATGGTATACTGCTTTCACAGATTCAGACCATACTTACACAATTTTATGAGTCACTGTGGCCACATAATTCCCCCCATGCTGTCCTCCTCTTTTTTGAGGTACTCCGTATTCAGGTAGGCTGGTACGCCGATGAAACAAACTATAGACCAGTACTTTGAGAGCTTCTTAGCTTGGTAGGCTCTGCCAGAGTTTTAACTCCTGTGGTATAATGTAAAAAACGACTGTTGCCTCCATCCCATCATGAAACATCAGAGTAGACAGCCCATTTGGATGTGTAAAATGGGAGTATCAGAGATATGATTATCAGTCTTAAAGGCTATTTTTTTTTCTTTCAAAAGTATTCTCAGGATCTTCATCCAGCACTAAATATGACCCTGATATTCTGAAGGCAGAGATCTCCACGACACGGTTAAGGGTAAGAATATTTCATGTTGTTTATTCATATAGTATATTAATACTGGAAGGGACATCATTCAGGCCAATCTCACTCACAAGTGAGAATCTCCACTACAACATTTCTTGTAGGTCTTCCAGTACCTGCTTACACTTAATGACAGGGGATTCACTAGTCACAAGGCAGATCATTTAGGTTTTGGACAGTTTAAATTAGTTTAGCTCTTCTTTATATTGAACTCAAATATACCTTTCTGTAATAATTATCATTTGTTGGCCTGAAATTCACTCTGCTTTTGGAAGCCGCACAGAAACAGCCCTCTTCCACATTATAGCTGTTGTGTGTCACTTCTCATACTCCCCCACTCTTATTTTCTCTGAGTTGTGAATCTCCAGCTTTTTCTGCTATTCTGCCTCCAAACTATTCGCCATTCCGCTTGCCTTCATTCATTTCAGTTTGCCAGTTTTCCTGTTAAAATGTGGCAACCAGAACTTAACATAGGACTGCAGATGTCTGATTAGTGCAGTATCAGTAGTAAAATTACGCCTCCTTTGATCTTGCCACCATACTTCTGTTAAAATGAACACAGAGAGAGCCTGCATTTCTGACATGTGACTCATATTGAGCTTATAATCAACAAAATCCCTAGCTGGGTCTTTAAAAAACTCAACATGAATTGTTAATAAAGTAGGTATCTCCTATTCTATACTTTTACTCTTATTTGCCTTTTTTTTTAAATTGTGGAAGGTGAGTACTTGTCATTTTCCCTGAGCTTTTTTTTCTTTGATGATAAAGATAGGACTTGTGTTCCCACAAGTACCTAATTATGGCTTCATAGAGTTTTTTTGCTTTGGAGAACCTTAATGATCTAGTCTGCCATCATCATTTTAAAGAGAAGGAAACACAGGTCCTGAGAGATTAGGTGATTCCCCCATGTCTCTTGTTCTTTACCCACTCTTTACCATTACACCGTCCTTCCACAGTTAACCTACTCTGGGGTCCATTCTCATCAGCTGGCAACATCCCCTCAAAGTGTGACTAGCTCCTTCCATTTTCACTACTCTTTTCTACTGCAAATAAATAGAAACAGAGTAGTATTCCTGCTTTCATTTTCACTAATTCCCTCTAGGAACACAGAGACATATAAACTCTTGTTGTTTATACCTGTTGTGACCCTGTTTGGGGTTTTCTTGGTAAAGATAGTAGGGTGGTTTGCCATTTCTTTCTCCAGCTCATTTTACAGATGAGGAAACTGAGGCAAGCAGGACTAAGTGACTTACCCAGGGTCAAACTGCTAGTGCAGACTTGAACTCAGTTCTTCTGACCCCCAGCCCAGTGTTCTATCCACTGAGCCACCTAGCTACTCATACAATGAGCCAGTTGATGAAGTCTACAGATGCTGCAAAGTTAGGGCTTCTTGGGAATACAGAGTATCCTAGCTCCTGATTCCTATAGAATGTCATGTCTTCAGTAGCCTTCATTCATTAGGAGAGGGGAGAGGTAGCAGCAGCAGTGATCAGATCAGTGGTAAGGGATCCTTCTCGAATGCTGGTTATTACAAGTCTATGTTGTTTCCAGGAGTGAGTGGCGTAGACATTATGGGAAGGAAGAGGAGCTAGCTAGTTGGTATCGTGTACCTCGCTGTTCTGCCTGAAAGTCTAAAATGCCCTCTTGTCGTCTCTCTCTTGTACTCTTCTGATCAGTGTCTTGGGGGAATTTAATACATGCTGATTAGCAGGCATGGCTCCAGTTTAGTGATATCCCCCCTCACCCGTTAAGCCTGAGACACCTGTGCTGTTCAGCTGTAGTGGATGGAGCCCTGGGCCTGGAGTCAAGCAGGTCTGAGATCAAGTTCTACTTCAGATACTAACTGTGTGACCTTGGGTAAGTCACGTAACCTCTGTCTGCCTCAGTTTCCTCAGCTGTAAAACAGGGATCATTACAGCACCCACCTGTTGCAAGGATCAAATAGGATTATATTTGTAAAGTGCTTAGTACAATGCCTGGCACATAGTAGGCACGTAATAAATGTTTGTTCTTTTCCTTTTTCCCCTTCATCAGGTATAAATCCTTAGCGACCAATGCTATTGAACAATTATGTCAAACTCAAGTAGAAAGAGAGGCCACTAGTCCCTCTGTAAGGATCCCTGTGGGACAGCTTCAGCTTCTGTTGGACCCTGGCTTTTATGATACAATCCTTTAAAAGTAAAGTCTTCTAAATATATTTTGATTTTTGCAACAGAGGAATTTACCCGTAATCACTACCCCTTCCCATATACAATTGTACTTTCCCTTAGAAAAATAACAAAATTCAGTCCAAACTTTTAGCACGGAAATCATGACTGCATGAGAACCAGAAAGGATGTGATGGTGGGGAGAGAAGAATCTAGCCCAGCTGCCTCATTTTTCAGATAAGGAAACTGAGACCCAGAGACTTTTCCAAAGTCACAAAGACACTAAGTTCCTGAACTAGTATTTGAACCCAGGGGCAGTTGGGTGGTGAAGTAGATAGAGAAAGTACGGGGCCTGAAATTAGGAAGACTCATCTTCCTGAGTTCAGATCTGGCCTTAGACACTTACTGGCTGTGTGACCCTGGGCAGGTCACCTAACCCTGTTTACCTCAGTTCCCTCATCTATCAAGTGAGCTGGAGAATAAATGGCAAACCACTCCAGTATCTTTGCTGAGACAATCCCCAAATGGGCCATAAAGCGTTGGAAATGACTGAAAATAATTGAACAGCAACAAGCTTGAACTTCAAATCCAACATTCTTTCTACGAAAATACAAATACCTTAGATGGTAACAGATTTAGTCTTAGGCCCTAGAGCAGGTCTTCTTTTATTTATTTATTTTTAGTTTTCAACATTCACTTCCATAAGTTTTTGAGTTCCAAATTTTCTCCCTATCTCTCCCCTTTCCCCACCCCAACACAGCGTGTAAATTGATGTAGATAGAGCAGGTCTTTTTTTTTTTTTTTTGGTTAAGTGGTGGGATTAAGTGACTTGCCCAGGGTCACACAGCGAGTGAGCGTCAAGTGTCTGAGGCTATATTTGAACTCAGGTCCTCCTGACTTCAGGGCCAGTGCTCTATCCACTGTGCCACCTAGCTGCCCACCTTGAGCAGATCTTCTTAACTTGGGACTCTATGATGATAAAAAAAAAATGCGTGTGTATATATGCATATAAGTGTGTGTATGTATATACACGTGTGTGTGTGTGTGTGTGTGTGTGTGTGTGTGTACACAACTATATTTCAGTGCAATTGGTTTCCTTTGTAATCCCATGTATTTTATCTTATACATTTAAAAACATTTTGAGGAGACATTAGGTCTTACCAGGCTGCCAAAAGGGTCCATGATAAAAAATGTAAGAGCTCCTGCCCTCGAGTATCATACTTACTTTCATCTCTCAAACAATTTTCCTTATCTTTCTACTGAAAAGAAAAAGTGTGTTCTTTCCAGGGCTGTCATCTAGCACCAATAGTAATCACTAATTTTGATCTTATTTCTGTTCTCTATTTTTTTTGAACAAGTTATATTTTTATTTATTTTGTTAAATATGTCTCAGTTATATTTTATTTTTAATTTTCTTGTGTTTGATATAAATTTATTTATTTTTAGTCTTCAACATTTACTTCCACAAGATTTTGAGTTCTGAATTTTCACCCTATCTCGCCCCTCCCCCCACCCCAAGATGGCATGCATTATGAATACCCGTTCCCCTAATTTGCCCTCCCTTCTATCTCTTCCCCCTTCTCTTATCCCCTTCCCCTTCTATTTTCCTGTAGGGCAGGATAGTCTTCTGTACCCCATTTCCTGTATTTCTTATTTCCCAGTTGCATGTGATAACATTTTTTTTAAAACGTGTTTTTAAAACTTTGAGCTCCAAATTTTCTCCCTTCCTCCCTCCCCACCCACCCTCACTGAAAAGGCAACTCAATATAGTTTGTACATGTGCAGTTATTCAAAACACTTCCTTAGTAGACATGTTGTGAAAAACTAACTCTATTTCCCTTAATCCTATCCTGCTCCCCATTTATTCTATTCTTTCTTTTGACCCTGTCCCTCCTCAGAAGTATTTGCTTCTGATTACCTTTCCCAATCTGCCCTCCTCTCTATCATCCCCCTGCTCTCTTGTCCCCTTCCTCCCCTATTTTCTTGTAGGGTAAGACAGATTTCCATACCTAATTGAGTGTGTATGTTATTCCCTCCTTCAGCCAAATCCTATGAGAATAAGATTCACTCATTCCCTCTCACCTTCCCCCGTTTCCTCCCTACTGTAAGAGCCTTTTCTGGTTTTTTTTGTGAAATAATTTTCCCCATTCTACTTCTCCTTTTCTTCTTCTTCTAGTATAATCCTCTCTCATCCCTTAATTTATTTCTCTAGATATGACCCCTTCATCTTCAACTCACCCTGTGCCCTCTATATATCTTTCTACACATACATATAATTTTTTCCCTCCAACTACCCTCATACTGACAAAGGTCTCATGAGTTACAAATATCATCTTTCCATGCAGGAACATAAACAGTTCAACCTTAATAGGTCTCTTATGATTTCTCTTTCCTGTTTACTTCTTCATGTTCCACTTGAGTCTTGTATTTGAAAGTCAAATTTTCTATTCAGCTCTGGTCTTTTCATCAGGAATGCTTGAAAGTCCTCTATTTCACTGAATGACCATTTTTTCCCCTGAAGGATTATACTCAGTTTTGCTGGGTAGGTGATTCTTGGTTGTAATCCTATCTCCTTTGCCCTCCAGAATATTATATTCCATGCCCTGCGGTCCTTTAATGTAGAAGCTGCTAAATCTTGTGTTATCCTGATTGTGTTTCCACAATACTTGAATTGTTTCTTTCTGGCAGCTTGTAATATTTTCTCCTTGACCTGGGAACTCTGGAATTTGGCTATAATATTCCTAGGATTTTCCTTTGGGGATCTCTTTGAGGAGGAGATTGGTGGATTCTTTCAATTTCAATTTTGCCCTCTGGTTCTAATATCAGGGCAGTTTTCCTTGCTAATTT